CTCGCGGCTGTGATCAAGTTTAACATCAATACAACCTCCTTTGTATCACAATCTGTAACAATACCTAACAAAAATAATTGCGGAGTGAATTTTACCCTCCTTCTAAAAATTCTCTGGATATTCCACCATATTTTGATCCAAAATGCTTTTATCTCTCTGCATGACCACCAAATATGATAATAGGAAGCCTCCTTGTAACCACATCTCCAGCATTTAGGTTGCACGTCAGGGTACATGTAAGACATTAAGGAAGTAGTGGGTCCAGAGAATTCATCTTGCCTAAGAAGCCTGCAGAAGTTAGCACTTGGCCAAGGTGTTCTCTCTTTCTCTCACACAAACATACAGCCCTTTTGAAATCACTTTTGTGGAGAAAAACTTAAATGTAATTGACTCAAAAACAATCCTTATTGTATAAACATGTTTTTAAGCAATAGAGTTTTGAGGATCAGATGACCAACTGAGATCAGGGAGATTGTGGTTCAGTTCTGTGTTTAACGAGACTATCTCTCACCTTAAACTACCTCATTGGATTCTTGTTTTTCAAATGATCAATAGCTAAAAACTCAAAAACTGTGGTATTATCCACTTATAAGATATTCACAAAAAGCATCAAATACGAAACTGTCATTCTTGTATCATAAATGTCTATATGAGTGTTTCCTAAACTTGTAAACTTGCAGTCATATGAACCTCAGTTCCAAGAATTCCATATCCAACATAGCAATTGCTGAGAGTTGAAGGTCAATAAGCTGAAAATAGTGGAAGACAGAAAGAAAAAGATGGCTGAGACAAGAAAATCTGCCCAAGTAATGAATAGTTCAAGGGGAATACAAAAAGAGAAAAGCATGTAATCAAAGAAATATGAAGACATAAAGGATTACAACCAAATGGGAAGGGCAAGAAATTTATTTACACAAATTACTGCAACATTTGGTGCAAAGACGGATTCAATAAAACAACAGAAATCAAAGATCTATTGGATAAAGAAGACACAAAAAGAAGTATGCAACTGTTTGGATAAACTACACAGAAAATATCTCCAAATCAATTATACATATTTTATTTATTTATCATATTTATATAGCTGCCCATCTCATGGAATTTAACTCTGAGTGGTATACAATAATGAACAAAAATATAAAAAGACAGTTAAGGTTTATATAAAGAACAGTGAAGATTTGATTATTTAAGTAAAGCCAGATATTCTAGAAAGTAAAATGGGCATTAGAAAATATTGTTAATAACAAAGTTGAAGGAGTGGATAAAATATCAACAGAATTGTTTAAAAATCTAAAAGATGATTCAATTAAAGGAGTACATCCAGAAATAGAAAGTGTAATATTGGCCAAGAGCAATTTATATGCATATATACACCCATCCATACACACACATACACAAAATCTTTATTGAGATTACTGATCCATATAACAATTTATAACCCATATCAAACAAAAAAATGACAAAGAATGTTCAAAGTATCAACAATTACACTTACCTCTACATGTTATTAGGATAGTGCTCAAGATTTTGCAATCAAACTTTAACAATACATGGAATGAGAAATGTCAGATATACAAGTTGGATTCCAAGATTTTGCAATCCAAACTTTAACAATACATGGAATGAGAAATGTCATATATACAAGCTGGATTCCAAAGAGGCAACCTAAGATCATATTGCTAACATCTGATGGATGATGGGAAAGGATGTGAAGTTCCATAATGACATCTATTTTTGCTTTATTGATTAGACTAATGCTTTTGGCTTAGTGTGCAACAAGAAAATACAAATAACCCTTAAAACATGGGTGAGCCCATAAAGTCCGCCAATTTAAAAATGTGTATATTGACCAGGAAGCAAAGTAACATGGAGTTCAAATGGAATAAGGAGCAACAAACTGGGAACTAATTGTGCCAAGTTTGCATATTTTCACTTTATTGATTTAACTGATAAGCAAAAGATATAATTCTGGACTAGAATAAATAGTAAAAATCAGCATCCTCAAACATTCTTGAAGATTGAAGTGAGGAAGACTTAAGGAATCTGTGGATGAAGGTGAAAGAAAAGATTACAAAAGCCATTGTACAGCTCAATGTTACTAAAACTAAGATTATGTCAACAGGACATAATAAGAGCCCAACATAGCCCAATACAAATTGGCAAGAAGCAGTAACAGTGCTTATTTTCCTAGGCTCAAAAATTTCACAGGAATTTTGACTATAGCCATAAAATAAAGAGACATCTGAAAAAGATTGTGGGGAAAACAATTCATGGCAGATTAAAATGAGAAGACATCATGTTAACAATAAAGGAACATACTGCTAAGTCACTGTTGATATGGCTTGAAAGGTTAATAATCTGAATTACTGAAACAAGAAAATGTCTTGCAGTGCTGAAGAATACTATGAGAAATAGCTTGGACAGCAAGAAAAACAAATAATTATAACTAAATGGTTCACTGCAAGTATTAGTGATGAAACTATAAATATTATGAAATATTTTGGACAAATACTTTAAAGAGTCTTGTGGGAAGACTCTGATGGTTTGGAGAACTGAAGACAATTGAAAAAGACATTGTTAGAAAGATAAGTATCTACTATCATGGTGAGTTTACCAGCAACTGAATGACAGAATGATAATAACACTATTACAGTAGGTCCTCATTTGTTCTGATGCATGTATTTCCAGAACATTCTGAAGATGAAAGAGATGCTTTAAAAAAAAATTCAATTGAAACTACATCTTTAGTCTGAATTCAGAGCACATTACAGATGAGTGCCCATAGCTGTTTTCTTTCCTTCAAAATATTAAAACGATCAGTTGGAAAGCCTGTTTTGGAAACACATTACTAACTTAAAATGTAGTTTAGCTTTTACATAGCACAATCTAGTCTTCAAGTAAAAGACAGTATTGTGTCAGGTCAGCCCTGATGCAGCTAGAACATACGTCAAACCGCAGGCTTATATTATTGTACTTGGATCAGTGTCAAACATTGTGCAAAATAATTGAGTTTATCAATCAACCTGGATTTCATTACAGCCTTTATCAATACTTATACAATACAACTTTGTACACCTTCTGTGAAGGGGAATTCAAAAGTAAAAAGAAATCCCATTGTATGTTTCTGCTGATGGTAGTTGATGATTCCTGTCAGAGTCCCCAGAATATCTCAAAATCTGTTTCTAAAATCACCAAGCTTTTAGTGTAGCTTCTAAGGATGCACAGAAGAGGGAGGAATATTCTCCATCACATGGATCTAAGTCCCTGGGTGCAAGATTGAATTTTACAACTGAATTTCAATACTGTGTACAAAGCAATAAATACAAAATTGATTTAACCGTTAAAAGGACTGGTCTTAGATTCAGTCCCACATAATAAGGCCTGAAGCAAACTACATATGAGTAAGATTTATATACTGAGTCATGCTTTTATAAAGTGCTCTTGTGTAAGAACAGTTTTTTATTATTATAAACAGATGGTTATAAATGTATCCCACCCTTTTATCAAACACAGTAGTTTACATATTTAATTTGAACTGTTTTCTTCTGGCAACAAACATGTGAACTATCAGAGATATATTTCCTCAAAAATAAAGAACTACAGTACTCCATAGTCTTTAACTGTTTGATTTTAAAATATGTATATCCTGCATCTGGCTGAAATAGAGGTAGTCCTTGACTTATAACCATTGGTTTAGCAACTGATCAACTTTACAATAGCATTGAAAAAAGTAATTTACAAAAGTCCTATCACTTACAACCCATGCATTATCACCATCATCACATGATCAAAATTTGGGTGCTTAGAACTGGCATGTATTTATGACAGTTGCAGCATCCCAGAATTATGTGATCACCATTTGCAACCTTCTCAACTAGCTTTCAACAAACAAAGTTAATGAGGGAAATCAGATTTACTTAACAATCACATGATTCTTTCACTGGAGTGATTTGCTTAATAACCATGGCAATAAAGGTTATATACTTATTTAACAACCACTTTGTTTAGTAACCAAAATTCTGATCCCAATTGTGGTCAAAAGTTGAGGACCACCTATATTCACCATGTGGTTTAAACATTAAACTGATGGCCATTTTGACTCATCTCTCAGTAATATGCAAAATGAGCAAGAGCTACTGAAATCTCATTGGTACCAATAAGGTATTGAGCAGACTTTAGGCATTTTAATTAAATAAATATGATGCTAATATCTTCCATCTTTTTTTTACATAATCAAGGCAAAATCAGAGTAAATCGACTCCTATTCAGAAAATATATTGCCAAGCAATACTTGTATCACCATCCTTCAGAAGCACAGGTTTTCCCCAGTCCAGCTCAACACATTAAGACTGAAGCTTAGATTACTGTTCATAAATGGATTATATATGCTTGATTCTAAGCACTTAAGCAGTCTAAACATTTTCACTTGATCCCAGTATATTCACAGGCTTGGTGACTATTACTGAGGAATATGAGATGACAATTCCTAAAGAGACCTGATTTTTATAGGGCCTCTCCAGTGTGTTGCTTCTGTTATGGAAGCAAAGAAGTCAGGGAAGATCTGATTCTCCCCATTAATCTCCCCATTCCATTAGGTCTGTTAGGTCAGACCCACTAATTTCATTCTGCAGAATGTTCTCTGAATGAATGGGACTGAAATACAGACATGGATAATGCACCATTATTTTCACAATTAAGATTTCCAAATCCTCTCCAGCTCACCCTCTTTCTAGATTGCTCTCGTTCAAAATAAAAAAAATTTCTATCCATAACAGGCAGCACAGGAGAAAATGCACAAAGAAGTTCATTGAAGTACATTAAAAAGTTGCAAGAGTCACTGGCTGGGTTTATACCTCATTGTAAGCCAAAACAAACAGTATTATTGCTTCTAGCAATCCAAACCAATTTCTTCACATTGGTCACACCTTCACTATCTCCAGGTGAAGAAGATCTATTAAGACAGGAGAGCAAAGGCAAACAGAACTCTTTCCAAAACTCACCCCATAGAGAGAAAATGTTCCTACAAATGGTTGCTTGCTTGCAGAGTTTGAGTTTCTCTGGCTTTGTAGGACTCTATCCAAGTTCTATCAGGGTTGCCAGTGAGATTCCCTGAAAAAACAAACAAACCCAAGTTTTACTTTCAAGTAAATCCAGATACTTTATGAAGAATCCAGGTAACAAAAACCACAATAACTCAGTTTTAAACTATTTTTTTTCCTATCTTATACACAATGTAATACAGTGTATAAAAATAAGATTTCATTAAAATTTAAAATTATGAGATGTAGAAAACCAAACAGAGATAAAATTCAGAAATGGGTTTAAAAATCCAGCACTAACAACTCTGGTTTCTAGATTGAAGATTCACTGTTTCAAATCTGATCATTTGGAACAGTGGTGGCGAACCTATGACACGGGTGCCAGAGGTGGCACTCAGAGCCCTCTCTGTGGGCACACACGCCATCGCCCCAGCCCCGCCACATCATGGCCCCCTCACTAGCAGCCCGCCTGGAGGAGAGTCGCCCTGGGCGCAGCCTGCGCAGAGCAGCGCAGCCAAGGACATGCAGCCTGGCAGCAGGGACAAGACTCCACCCTCGCACCCCATCGTGTACAGATGATGCTGCGGGGCGCAGAGGGCATGGCCACCATGACACTGCTGGGCTGCGCTCTCTCTCTCTCTCTCTCTCTCTCTCTCACACACACACACACACACACACACTCTCTCTCTCACTCTCTCTCACACACACACAAACACACACACACACCTATAATAAAGGTAAAAAAGGATATATGCAGCGTTATCTTCATTTTAGATATCAAAAGGATTTTGCGGCTCCCGGTGTTTTGTTTTTGGTGGGAAACGGCTCCAAGTGGCTCTTTGAGTGTTTTGGGTTGCCTACCCCTGAGTTAGAGTATAGAAAAACTCAAAGTACTGCAAGATTGTAAGATGTGGAGAGACCTGGGCCGTAGAATTACCAAGAGTCAGACACAACAGAATGGATTTCATCATCATCATAATCTGCAGGCAACCTTGAGCTCCCAGAGGATAGATGGTATATAAATTTAATAAATAAGTGCCGAATCAAAAACTCTGCATTGTCTCATTTGATTGGTATCTCCCCAAACAATAATAAAAATTCAGGAAAGGGTTTTGTCTATACAATGCCTATTTTATCAGGGGGTTATTGATATATATGTTTAAATAAATGAAATCTATTAGGATGGAACTGAAATTCTTACATAGGAAGCTGCTTCTTCGGACTAAAAGAAATATTCAGGTGTTTTTAAATAAAGTGTTGGATAAAGTGACGCCTCTGTTCCCATTGTTCAGAGTTTGAATTAGCGTTAACATGTGAGAGATGCTGTAAAAAAAAAATCAGCATCAGTAGCAGACACGAAGAGATTCAGCTTTTTGTATTATACCGGAGGATACAGCGGTTAAATTTTCACCTGCCCCGCAACTTTTCAAAGCAAAGGAAGTGAGGGAGGAAAGAAAGGGGACGTAGCAACTGCAGGATTAATCGAAAATTAAAAGGTGTTTCGTGCTCCGGGATTAAAATCCCCACCACCCTTCCCAAAGCGATTCGAAACAATCCCGAAGGTGGGATGGGGTGCTACAATTAAGTTTCTAAACTGCGCATGCTCTCACCCACAAACTGAGTTCCCCGGCTTCTCAGCAGGACCTTTGTTACCTTCTCCGGGCTCAGCAGAGCCAATTTGGTTCGTCTGCGCAAGCTCACATTATTCTCCCGGTGCTGCTTGGCCGGCCGCGTCTTTTAGCCCTGCTGGCGGGAAAGTGCTGGTTGTCGTGGTGACGGGACGCGGAGTGTGGCTCGAGCCGGTCTCGAGCCAAGCGGGGAAAGGGCGCGGAACTGCGGCCGCTCGCGGCCATGACTGGCATTCTGTGCGATTGGCTGAATCGGGAAGTGAAGCTCTCGCGGACAGTGGGTGAGTCCAAGGAAGCGGGGTGTCATTGCTTTGAGGCCTAGGCGAGGGGCATTGCCTCTACTCCACTGGTTCCCAGCAGGCTCCTCCAACAAGAGGGAACATTCTTTTTTTTTTTTTTTTCCAGCTTGTCTCAAAGCAGACCGTGTCTTTTCTCTGGAAACCGAGCCCCACTTCATTCAGGGTGGGAGAAAGCACCAAAGTGCATGATATTTTGGATATGTTCAGAGGCACTGCCCTCTCCATCATGCTATTTTTGGTGTTTTGCTTTGCCACAGCCTTGGAAAACGGGTGTCTAGGTTGACACTTCTGCCTGCCTTTATCTGCTGCAAGGGAAGATTAAAAAAAAAAAAAAAGATTAGAAAATAATATGAGGTACATTTGAGGAGAAAGCTGCGCACATTTGTGGTGTTGGAATTGAATAATGGATTATATGCCAACACCTAGCAACCATATAGATTTTAAGTTTGGCATTAAGCTCGTGGAAACTTTTGAAGTATTCACTTTTGATGACTGAGAGCAAAACATATTTAATGGCAGTACATTGGAGATACTTTAGAATTGAAAACAACTATTTTTAGCGGCAGTGCTTTATGACAGTAACAATATTGGACCGTGTTTCCACACAGTTACTTTGTACTGTATTTTCCAATTATTTAAAAGAAACTCATGGGTTAATTTTTTCTACAAACTTCACGTTGAGTATTTTGATAGGCTCTCTGAATTTGCAGAAAGGATTCTTTGCAGTATTTTTTTTTTTTTAAAGAGAATGGTGATTTAATGACTGCTGGATCTCTATATGCTCTACCAATTATCTGAGGCCTGTACCACCCAGAGGGCCAGTGTGCCTATATATTTCAACTTAAAAAATGGGGAGCTGACTTGTCACAAAGCAAAACACTATGCTCCAGAATAATCATTTATTTATATCCCATTTTTATTATTTTTATAAGTAATTCAAAGCAGCAAACATTCCAAATATCCCTCCTCCTATTTTTCCCACAACAGTCCTGTGAGGTAGGCTAAGCTGAGAGAGAGGGCGACTGGCCCAAAATCAGCCAGTCAGTTGTTAACTCACTGAGCCATTCCTGAACTTTCCTGGAACTTGAAAAAGAGAGCTATCTATAGCCAGTGTTTTGTTTAAAAGTGTGTCCATCTGTCTTGAAAAAAGCAGAAAAAGTATAAGCGTAGGGCTGTGCATTGCTATAGTGCACAGGGACCCACATGTCTGCAATTCTTTAAACCAAATATGGTCTTTTCTGGGGAAGAAAGGCAGCTGTGTAATCCCAGGAAAAAAAATGCAGCTGCCTTATTTGAATCCAAAATGCAATGGTAAAGTACAAGGGGTCAGGTAAGAATACACAATCAAGAAATGCTATTTGAAATAGATGCTTCGTAAACTATCTATGGCAAGTCTTCCCAGTCACTGTTTTGCAAAACATTCACAACAATAAATACCCGTCAGAATCCAAATCTGGGATTCCACATTTGTTGTTAATTGCGAAGTCGTGTCCGACCCATTGCGACCCCATGGACAATGTTCCTCCAGGTCTTCCTGTCCTCTACCATCTTCTGGAGTCCATTTAAGTTCACACCTACTGCTTCAGTAACTCCATCCAGCCACTTCATTCTCTGTCGTCCCCTTCTTCTATTGCCCTCAATCTTTCCCAGCAATAGGCCCTTCTCCAGTGAGTCCTTCCTTCTCATTAGGTGGCTAAATTATTTGAGTTTCAACTTCAAGATCTGGCCTTCTAAAGAGCAGTCGGGGTTGATCTCTTCTAGGACTGACCTGTTTGAACGCCTTGCAGGCCAAGGGACTTGCAGGACTCTTCTCCAGCACCATAGTTTAAAGGTCTCAATTCTTTGTCACTCAGCCTTTCTTATGGTCCAACTTTCACAGCCATACATTGCAACTAGGAAAACCATGGCCTTGACTATACGCACTTTTGTTGGCAGGGTGATGTCTCTGCTTTTTAGTATGCTGTCTAGATTTGCCATAGCTTTCCTCCCCAGGAGCAAGCGTCTTTTAATTTCTTGGCTGCAGTCCCCATCTGAGGTGATCTTGGAGCCCAGAAAAATAAAATCTGTCACTACCTCCATTTCTTCCCCATCTATTTGCCAGGAATTGAGAGGGCCGGATGCCATGATTTTGGTTTTCTTAATGTTGAGTTTCAAGCCAACTTTTGCACTCTCCTTCTTCATCCGCATCAAGAAGCTCTTTAGTTCCTCTTCACTTTCTGCCATTAGAGTGGTATCATCTGCATATCTTAGGTTGTTGATATTTCTCCCGGCAATCTTAATTCCAACTTTTGATTCATCTAGCCCTGCCTTTCTCATGATGTGCTCTGCATATAAGTTAAATAGGCAGGGCGACAGAATACAGCCTTGCCGGACTCCTTTTCCAATTTTTAACCAATCAGTGGTTCCGTGTCCAGTTCTCACTGTTGCATCTTGACCCGCATATAAGTTTTTCAAGAGACAAATAAGATGGTCTGGTACTCCCATCTTTTTAAGAACTTGCTCAATTTGTTGTGATCCACACAATCAAATTTAGATGTCATTTATCGCTGCTTATTTTGTTTCTAGTAGTAGTAAAGAAATTAGTGAGAAATTATCATTTTTATAATTATTCCTGAGGTGGAAAAAACAATTGTATAAAAGAAGGCTTCAAATTTATATTGAATATATCATTACAATTAAGCCAAAGATGCAATTCCAGTAAATAGGAATTTGCTCACAGAAATTCCCAGACTAACCCATGACATCTCCAGCAAGTACAGAAAAGCTGTTTTTCCACCTAAGGCCCGGAAGAGATAGTAATGAACTAAATAGACTGCAAGTAGTCCTCAACTTACAACCATAATTGAGCCCAAAATCTTGGTTGCTAAGTAAAGTGATCACAATCCTGACACTCCCAGTTGTGTTAAGTCAGGTCATTAAGCGGACAGAGTAACATGTAAGGAGTGTGTGATTCCTCAGGATAAGGATAGACTCTGGGAGGCTCCACTCAGGAAATGAAAATCTTCCCTGCTGAAATCCAAGCAATCCCTGAGTGTCTCTGAGTGAGAGACACTTGCATGTGGCCTGCCCTGGGCCTGTCAGGGATACCCAAAGCATCTTGAGCTGCTTACTTTATCATACTTTATCATTATCTCTTCTTTTATTTTAGCTCCCTCTCATCTTTAGTGACTTGCAGAAAGAGCTTCCTCCAAAGAATGTCATCTCTCCAATGTACACAGAAGGGAATTCCTTCTGTGGGGTGCAGAAACAAAGCAAATCATTAGGATCTGAGCTCTATTTTTGCACCCCACCGAAGGAATTCCCCTCTGCTCCTCTCAATAGGCAGCTCTTTTCAGTCAGCTCCCAGGAATGAAAGGGAGTTCTCTTGGCAGGCGACAATAGCTTGCAACCTTCCCTGCCAGCTTTCCCATTGACATTCTGGGGAAGCTGCAAGAGGAAATTGCAAATGACAATCGCATGATTGTTTGGCAACTGGTAGTACTTGCAGACAGGTTGTCAAGCAACCAAATCAGGATCACATGACCAGGGTTTTTGTGCAAAGGTTTACAACATTAGGAAGTGCTTTACAGGCTGCAAAGCACTCTTTCTGTGGTTGTTGTAACACTGAATGGACATTAAACCACCAGTTGTAAGTCAAGGACTACTTGTATTGTGTAGCTCAGGGGTCTTCAAAACTTGGCCCTTTTATGACTTGTGGACTTCAACTCCCAGAATTCCTCAGCCAGCGTGCCTGCTGAGGAATTCTGGGAGTTGAAGTCCACAAGTCATAAAAGGGCCAAGTTTGAAAACCCCTGGTATAGGTTTTGACTGGCTGTCTCCTAGCAATCTAACCTTTACACTTAACAACTTTCAGATCCCTGCCTTTGAAGATTTTGTGAGCAGTTTCCATAAATGGGGAAAAAAAGAAGGTTAAATGTTTCCAGTACTTCTTTGTGTATGATGTGATTAGATTGCTCCTTATAGGAGTTCAAAGCTTGAAAAACAGGTTGAAGCAATTTGCAACATCTATCCTCTCACACTGTAACTTATAATTAGTTGTCTGTTGTGGCTTGTAGGCATCTTAGTAAAGAACATGACCTTCAATTTAGTATAAAATTGAGATGGATTTTCTTCCAGCTCTATATTATATTATATTTGAGCCTCCTCCTCTATCCAGTGGAGTTATTAGCATATAAAAGCCCTGCTGTTGATATGTGACCAACTTTGGAAGAAGAAATTCCACTTTAATTAATAATCAATTATATTTATACACTGCCCAACTCTTAACAACTTTAGTTACTTTTAACAGCTTAGAAATTTTAAAAAAGGGAATCAGAATCTTGCTTATCACTTTCTTAGCACTTTTCAGATCAGGAACAGGCTTCTTTTGGTGCTGCATCTGAGCTGCATTGAGATAGCATAATGTTTGATGTTAATCAGCAGTAGCAGTTGCAAACTGATGTTCCAAGTTTCATAGGTGTCTATCTCTGAAATACTAACTCAAGCAAACATCACAATGTTTTCTGCATCAAATAGTTAAAAATATACTTAACTTCTGGTTTGTTAATAAGTAGCCACACATCTAATCCAGGTAGAGTTGTAATTGACTTATCACCCATTTATGAAGAGATTAATCAAGACTATATTTTAGAAATATTTTTGTACAGTCTTGCTTGCAAAACTGAATGGGCAACCTGTTCTTTCAATTATTTTGCACTGGAAAATTGTTCAGGTAGCACCTATTATGACACATCTAAGCACAATAAAAGAATAATACTTGTTTTTCCTTAGAGGTATTTTTATTCATGTACAAATGTATGCTGATTTGTAATTATTCATACAGTTGATTGACTAAACCTTTAAAAATTGTGTGGCATTCCCTCTTTTGGTAATCCTGAATTAATGATGTGGGTTGCATAGTTTGAATGATGCTTAAGATAGCCTTGAGTTACTTAACATTGAATTTCCAGAATGCCTGTTCAGATGCCTGTTGAGCGTGTTTGCTTTTGTAGCCACTAATTTAAGTCTCTGTTTCACTATTGAATCAGGAAAGTACATATTCCATTAATGTAGCTTCAGGGCTTTCTGTGGTATGTTGAAGGCTGTATATCAAAAGTGAGTGGGATGAGGACTCTTTCAGGAAAGGGTGAAAATGCTGCTAATGTCACCCATTTGGCCTAAATTCTACTTAGTAAATTCTACTTTGGTCCTGCCCACTTTGAGAGATGGGGAACAATCTGGATACCACAGAAGAATTGCTGAGAAGCCATGATTTTTACACTTCTGACTTAAGGAAACAAATCTCTACAAGAGTTTGGAGACAGAGCTTCTTATGTGAAAAGCCTTTGGATGGTGTTCCTTCTGAGCAATCCAGTTACATATTTGAAATTCCCATAAGAAAACAAGGAAAGGATTTTGGTTACCCAGGACGCTTTTACAGATTCAAGGGATGCACTGTGGTTAGGTTCTCTCAATTAATAAGGACTCCAGAGGACAATCAGTCCTTGTAGGTATTTGTTTATTCCACAGTTCCTAATGTTTTAGCTACAAATGCTTTCCCTCCAGAGCAGCACCCACACTGGAGATGAAATCCTCCTGAGGAGAAGCAGAAGAACCAATGTTCTATTCACTTTAGTTCACAGGGCAGTGATTTTATGTTTTCTTTTGGGAAAGGTCCTTTGTTTACTGGTGTTAGGCTATCTTCAGGCTTATACCACAATTTTACTTTTATTTCTTTGTTCAAACCTGCAAGAAGCTGTACCACTGATTTTTAGTATTTGTTATTACTTAAATCAGATTTTGCAAGCAGGCTGAAAAATTAGGATTAGAAATTAAGGGCCATAGATTACATCCATTGTTTGTAAACTGTCCATAGACAATCCATGACTTGTTAGATCACAGATATTTCCATACCAGATTCCTCAATGCCTTTAACAATGACAGAATTTCTAATGCACTGCCTTCACTCGAAGAGTTGGGATACATTCAGAGATGTATCTGCCTTGGAAATAGTCCATGTTAAAATATATAGCAGAGTCAAATAATTAGCCCAGGAAATGTTTTATTACATTTTGTATTACATCAAAAACGGTTCTATCGTAATTTTTATGTCATAAAATATTTCATGAAATTTGCCAAATGTCAATTTTGGATTCATTCTGTTTGCCCATTTGAGGTATTTTGGTTCAAAAATTGTTGCCCATCATTTTGAACAATTAAAGGCTATACACAAGCAAATAGGAGAGTTTTAGTACTATAGTATATAATATAGTAGAGCAGGAGTGTCAAATTCAATTTCATTGAGGGCCACATCAGCATTGCGGTTGCCCTCGGGGGGCCGGGTGGGTATGGCCAGGGTGGGTGCAGCCTACTGGGTGGGTGTGGATGGAGTGGGTGTGGCCTACTGGGTGGGCATGGCCAGCTCTATATTGTTCGCGTCAAGGGTGCCTATGGGAGCCTGGGCAGGAGTGGGACAGATCTGAGGGTCTCTGGCAGAAGGGGGTGGACTGGGGCAAAGCACCAAGGCATGGTCCATTTCTTCATTCCTCACAAAGGCTGACACCTCCCCAGCATGCACCTAGGGGGCGTGGCCGACACGGCAGGGGCTGGTTCCTCGCTATTTCTAGACGGCCTTGTGGAGGTAAGACTGAATGTGTTTCAGCACAGATGGCCACCACAAAATTGTACATTGGTTCCCAGCCGGCCTGGGCCAGAGCCAAGGCAGTGGGGGCTGTTCCCTCACTGTTTCCAGGATGGCTTCGCAGGCCACATGAAACCACTTCACGGGCCACATCTGGCCCCCGGGCCTTGTGTTTGACATGTCTGCAGTAGAGTATGTGAAACACAATCTCAGTGTCATAGCAACCTCAACTGAAGAAAAATAGTTTTTTAAAAAAAATTGCTGTTATACAAAATCAGAGTCCACGGATACTATACAAATTAAATTTAATGTTTGAATTGGTTATCATTTTCTTCTAAATACTTCCTTTCTTATTTGACACATGACCTTTGAAGATTCCTAAATAACATTTTCTTTCGAAAAAATATTAACTAATATTAGTTGTAACTACTTTATGGGGACTGACCTTTGATACATCATATATAACTCCTTCCAAATAAAAGTTAATAATAAAAATGGCAATGAGAAATAAATATAAGTTATTCAAATAAGGTTAAGATAATACAAATAACAAAAATTAATATAATATAAAATAAAAATATGTAGTCTTCACAATGTGGTGATGTCAGCCTTCCCTAGTAAACTAGACAGGAAACATGACCAAACGAGTTAATTCTACTTTATTGTAACTATAGTAACAGAATCTTTTAAGTCTGAAAACTACTTTGTAATTTGGCTACTCTGGTCACAATTTGATCAGCAAAAGTTGGTGAGGTAGATTATGCAATTTATCTCATATTAGAGAATTCATAATTAACTTCTTCACTTAGCTATTTCCATAAATCTATTGGAAGATTCAGAGAAAGCTGATTCTATGTTAACATGGTGACAAACGAACCATTGTTTATTGATGAGCTATATTTTATGTATTTATTTAATAAATGTATATAGATACTCATATGCCTGGGAATTCTAGACAGCAAACAGAAATAAAAACATCAATCAAGCCATAGAAATCCATTGAAAATGAATTGGGTTGATATACTGTACAATCATTATAATGAATGATTATGTATCAAATGCAAATAACTGCAACTTATAAACAAAATACTTTCCTTTTTCCTTTGGAAATTAAATTAGATGCAGAATCTTTCGCCCAAGAATTTTCCTCTGGCTATCTCATCGGAGAACTTCTAAACAAGTATGAACTTCAGGAAGATTTTGATCAGTTTTCACAAAGCAGGTGAGTAGTATCAGTACTGGTCTAACAATGTTCTGTATACTATATCATAACTAAATTACTGTAGGTTCAGTTAACACTTTCTTGTATTGGAGAACAGGATGGGAGTTTGCAATTCCCTTTCCCACTTTTTATATAGAAACTTTCCCTTATTCCCATGTTTGCCAATGCTCAGTCAGTTTCCCACTGAAACAGAAAAGGACTGTGTGATCTCCTTTTCTGAACTACAGTAATCTGCATCCATAGCCAGAATGACCAATGGTTGTTAAAAATTACAAAAAGAATACCTTGTTTATACTCATGTCCCCAAAATTATCACAGAGATGGCTGTGATCTGCAAGTAACCAGCAAGTCAGAAATGGGCAATTTTTTTTACTCCATATAACTGCTTCTGCTTTGAAAGAAAACACTTTCGTGAACTGTCTCTAGGCCTTTGCCTTTGCATTGCAGAGACTGACTTTACAAACTACTTTTGGTGAGAGTGATGCAGGGCTGATAAGCTGTACATTGGCAATTTTGGATAGCGTGACAGGGCTTGAAGCTGAGTAACATCTGGAAGGCAATAAATTTTCTACCCTTGCTGCAAGATATTTCTACCAGTGTATAAAGGGAGAATACCAAAAGAGTAAAGCTTGGTACTCTTTGTATTCTTGCCTTTGCTTGGTTGGAGACATCAAGTGAACAAGCAGCCCCAGTAAGAAGAACAGCAAGAGGATTAAGCAGTGGTTGGATTCAGTTATGAAATTCAGGAGGTACTTGACAGTGTTAAATTCTGATGTCAAGCCCAATAGCAAGATGATGATTTGCATTTCACAGTTTGCAGATTCAGAAGGTACTGGTTTTCATATGATACTGTGATAGATTAACAAAATGTTCACTTCTTGTCACCATATAACTAGTCACAGTAGCCAATTTCAGAAGCAGTATGACTGCTTATGTCACTTTAGATGCAGTGGCAAGATTCTATTCTGCTTTTAGATTCCTATATGAATTAGCTTGGAGATACGGACAGTAGCCTTGATGGACCTTGGATTTGTTGACCAAGTTCATGGTGTGCAAATAAATTATTATATTGTATAATTATAAGGTATCTTGAATCACACTAGATTCCTGATGACTACATGGAGAAAATCATGTAATTTTCATGGCAAGAGCACAGTATTGTTTGGTACTGATTTCTAGGATTTTTTTTTTCTTCTAGTTTACAACTGTAATATTTCTTGGTAGTCCAGTCCACTTCAAACAGTGACCGAGTCTAAGTCTACCTAGATTTTTAAGTTAGTTTGGCTAGGAGGTACCACTTAAACTTGTCAAACTCCAATGATGTGTATAGCAATTGATTGTAAAGCAATTAAGATTAGTAATAGTAAAGTTGGAAGGGACCTTGGAGGTCATCTAGTCCAACCCCCTGCTCGGGAAGGAAACCCTACACCATTTCGGACAAATGGCTGTCCAGTCTCTTCTTAAAAACTTCCAGTGTTGGAGCATTTACTGCTTCTGGAGGCAAGCTGTTCCACTGATTAATTGTTCTCACTGTCAGTGAGTTGGTATTAGTTGGTATTAGATTGAAGACTGTAGATTTTAGTGGAATTAAAGCTGAAAACCAAGCATGTTTATGAGTTCTGACTTTGTTTGGTTCCATTGCTGCCACACTACATGAGGCTTACTGCAGAGTGTTAGGCTTGCATATGAACTCACAGGAGAACATACATATTCTACATATTTAGACTTTTTTATATTGTCTCTACAGGCTTGCCAATGCAAAACTTAACAACTTTTCTCGCATGGAGCCAACCCTTCAACTTCTGGGTGTACAGTTTGACCAAAATGTAGCCCGAAACATCATGACAGAGCAGCATGGAGCTGCTATTAAACTTGTGTACCAATTGTATGTGGCCCTAGAGAAAAAGAAAAAAGCAGGGCTCACTGGAGTTGCCATGGATGCAATGCGACCTTCAGCTCATGCAAAGCTTAAAAGTGTAGGAACTGAAATATATCGTGAGGTGAGTTTGTTTATGTTAGGACATCTTTCTTAATGGTGAATTTCTGTCAGTAAAGTATTGCCTTCCTATTTACTTCTTTTAGGAATGAGAATACAGTACAAGGACACAAAATCCTGTTTAGGTCACCTCATCCAGATGTCGAGAGTGCACTGCTTTAATTGTTAATTAATAGTGCTTATATTGTATTCCACTCCTGAAAGTGTCTGACACATATTATTATAGTTCAACATGCAGTCCAGATGTTTGGATTGGATTTGGCATTTTTATCTACCTATCGAGCTTTCCCAAGGACCTGGCACAGGCAGATACTGCTGTTTGATAGTGTTAAAGTTATTGTTGCAGTATGTAATAATAATAATAATAGTAGTAGTAGTAGTAGTAGTAGTAGTAGTAGTAGTAGTGGTGGTAGTAGGGACCTTGGAGGTCATCGAGTCCAACCCCCTGCTCAGGCAGGAACCCTACACCATTTTGGACAAATGGCTGTCCAGTCTCTTCTTAAAAACTTCCAGTATTGGAGCATTCACTACTTCTGGGGGCAGGTTGTTCCATTGGTTAATTGTTCTAACTGTCAGGAAGTTTCTCCTTAGTTCTAAGTTGCTTCTCTCCTTGATCAGTTTCCATCTGTTGCTTCTCATCCTGCCTTCAGACGCCTTGGAGAATAGCTTGACTCCCTCTTCTTTGTGGCAGCCCCTGAGATATTGGAACACTGCTATCATGTCCCCCCTCATCCTTCTCTTAATTAAACTAGACATACCCAATTCCAGCAACTGTTCCTCACATGTTTTAGCCTCCAGTCCCCTAATCATCTTTGTTGCTCTTCTCTGTACTCTTTCTAGAGTCTCAGCATCTTTTTTACATCGTGATGACCAAAACTGGATGCAGTATTCCAAGTGTGGCCTTACCAAGGCATTGTAAAGTGGTATTAATACTTCATGTGATCTTGATTCTGTTCCTCCGTTAATGCAGCCTAGCACTGTGTTGGCTTTTTTTGGCAGCTGCAGCACACTGCTGGCTCATATTTAAGTGATTGTCTACTAGGACTCCGAGATCCTTCTCACAGTTACTACTATTGAGCAAGGTGCCCCCTTTATTATACCTGTACATTTGGTTTTTCTTGCCTAAATGTAGAACCTTACTTTTTTCACCATTGAATTTCATTTTGTTAGATAGCGCTCAGTGTTCAAGTCTGTCCAAGTCCTCCTGTATCTTAAGCCTGTCTTCTGGAGTGTTGGCTATTCTTGCCAGCTTGGTGTCATCCGCAAATTTGATGAGTTCCCCATCTATCCCCTCGTCCAAATCATTGATGAAGATGTCGAAGAGCACTTGGCCTAGAACAGAGCCCTGGGGCACCCCGTTACACACTTCCCTCCATGTAGATGCAGTTCCATTGAGGACCACACGCTGAGTACGGCCAGTCAGCCAGCTACGAATTCATCTGGTGGTGATGCTGTCTAACCCACATTTTTCTATCTTATTGAGTAGTAGGTTGTGATCTAATTTATCAAATGCCTTACTGAAGTCCAAGTAAATTATATCCACAGCATTCCTCTGATCCACTAATTTTGTCACTCAGTCAAAGAATGCAATAAGATTTGTCTGGCATGATCTGTTTTTGACAAACCCATGTTGGCTTTTAGTAATGACTTTGTTTGCCTCTAGGTGTTCCCTGATTTGTTGTTTGATTATCTTTTCCAGAATCTTCCCAGGTATTGAGGTCAGGCTGATAGGTCCGTAATTTCCTGGATCCATTTTTTTTCCTTTTTTGAAGATGGGAACTACATCAGCTCTTTTCCAGTCCTCTGGTAGTTCCCCAGTGCTCCAAGATCTTTGAAAAATATAGTTCAGTGGTTCTGAGATCGCATCTGCCAATTCCTTGAGAACCTTGGGGTATAATCCATCTAGTCCTGGTGATTTGAACTCGTCTAGGTTGGACAGGTGCTCACTTATCATTTTCTTGCCTATCTTAACTTGTGTTTCTATACTGTTTTTTATGGCACTATTTTTGATAGGTTGGTCTGTTTTTTCCCTTTGTGTAAAGACAGATGCAAAAAACGAGTTAAATAGTTCTGCTTTCTCCCTATTGCTAGTCACCTTCTTACCACTTTCACCCACTAATGGACCAATCGTTTCCTTCACTTTTTTCTTGTTTTTTACATGTTGAAAGAAGCTTTTTTTTGTTATTTTTGACTTTGGTCGCAAGCCTTAGTTCATTTTGAGCCTTGGCTTTCCTCACTTCATCTTTTCAGGCTCGGGCTATTTGTTGATATTCTGATTTAGTTATGTGCCCCTCTTTCTACTTTCTATACTTGTCCTTTTTATCTTTCAATTCGTCAGAGAGTTCTTTATGCAGCCATGCTGGTTTCTTTTGAGAGCTGTTATTTTTCCTCTTTGTTGGTATTGAGCTAGACTGGGCTTCTATTATCTTGCTTTTCAAAATTTCCCAAGCTTCTTGCATTGTTTTCCCCTGGAGGATTCTCATTCATGGAGTCCTTCCCAAGCCCTCTCTAAGTTTATTAAGCTGTTCCAAGTAAAATTGTCTTTTGCAATTGACTGATAGTATCTAATGTCAATGCCAATGGTGTTCAAGTGATGCTTCAATTGGAATTGTACCTAAAGCAAAGGTGGCGAACAGATCTAATATAGTATTCCTACCTCCTATTTTTATCACCACAACAACTATATTAAGTAGGTTAGGCTGAGAGGGAGTGACTGGCCCAAAATAAGTTGTTTTTGCGTTCTTAAAATCTATGCTGATACAAATTCAAAAAACCCAACTCCTTACAGAAATTTAAGTGATTACTTAAAAAAAAAATTGGATTAATTACTGCCAAACTGCAGAAGGTAGACACCTCTATTAAGTAATTTGCAACAATACTCTGGGTCCATTTTATTGCACATATGAAGGATGGGAGCACATACAAGGCTTTCCACTAGACTAAACAAGTTCCACAGTGTTGATTCATATGGGGATTCATGGTACCACTGGCTTAAGCCTCTGGGAAATTCTCAGAGTTGTTTCCCGTCATACTGGTTCACTGGAGAAAACTGGTACTTTAATTACAGTCTAATTCTTTGATTTATCTTCTCCCAATAGATATCTTCACAGCACATTATACTTTCAGTTTTAAAACAATGAGCTGTTGTATGAGGGCCTGTATTTCCTATCTTGTAAAGTTGAAACTAGGCCATAGGCCCAGAAAATTAAGTGAAGAGATCAGTACTATATATTTTTCAGAACGTATGTTTCCTCACTTCACCTACATATTATTCTCTCTAAGCAGGTTGTACTCTCACTATCAAGGCAAAAATCTGTTAAGTTTATAGCTAGTCCTCAATTTACAGCCACAATTGAGCCCAAAATTTCCATTGCTAAGCAAGACAGTTGTTGAGTTTTATCACCTTTATTGCCACAATTGTTAAGTGAATCACTACAATTATTAATTTAGTGACATGGTTGTTAAGTTAATCTGGTTTCACATTGACTTTGCTTATAAGAAGGCTGCAAAAGGTGATCACATGACCCCGGGACACTTTACAAATACATGCCACTTGCCAAGTGTCCGAATTTTGTTCATGTGACCATGGGGATGCTGCAACAGTTATAAGTGTGAAAAATTGTCATAAGTCATTCTTTTCTGTCCCATTGTAACTTTGAATGGTCACTAAATAAATGGATATAAGTAAAGGACTACCTGTACTGCATCTTTTGGGCCAAGTTTACAGTTGAAATCTTTTTCATACATAAGCCCATTTATTTTTATTTTTTATTTTGCTGTATTAGATACTTTGCTTGAGCTAACCTGGACTTTAAAACATGCAGTTACTAAAAAATATTATAATCCAATTGAAGGTTCCTGGAGTATTGATAAAAGTTTTCAGGTTCCTGTAATTAGAAAGAGAAAAAAATAAAACTAGAGTATTAAAATGCCAAATACCGTCCAACATCTCCAAATAGAGATAAAACAATTATAGTTTACAATAATCCTTGAGAATTATTGATGGTCAATGTAGACTTTTCCAATCTGATATCTCATCGACATATTCACTGCAACTCCAACTATCTTCATGATGTATTGGTTATAATTCCCGGAATTCACCATCTGCATGACTAATGAGACTGGTGAGAATAATGCAAACCATACTCCAAGACATCTAGAAGCTACCATGTGGAAGAAGGCTCATATAATTAATATGGTTGTAATGATCCTTCAGACAAGGTACTTTGCAGCACAAAAGAGCTGTTTGGAAGATCCCCTTAAATTATTAAATCATCCACCGTATTTTCAAGGTTTGACTGCTTAGGAAACAGCTCCTGGTAGTGCCTGTAGGGCCACTTTGCTTCAGTAAAAAGCAATATGAAGAGGTCCATCAAAAGCAATGAGGTCTTATTAAAAAAAATGAACTCCCTTATGCATGTCTCAACCCCTGGTCTTTTCCAGTAAAAGTTCTCTTAGGAAATGGAAGCACAGATGAGCTACTCTAAAATGGATTAAATCCACCAATGCAGGACAAACAAGATTCTTATGCTTCTTCCTGTGTCATATACAGCAGGGATCCTCAACCCTGGCAACTTTAAGACTTGTGGAATTCCACTCCCAGAATTCCTCAGCCAGCAAATTCTGGGAGTTGAATTCCACAAGTCTTAAAGTTGCAAGGTTGAGGATCCCTGATATACAGTATAGTTTTGCATGTATATATCTATCTCATTTCATTTCAGCGACTCAAAACACTAGTACCACGCCAGGCAGACCTCTCACTCCAGCAGATTTCAGACAGCTTTCAAAACAAAGCCAAGATCCTGGAAAGTAAGATAGTTGGCATGCAATTAGTGAAACAACAGCAAGCCAAACAGATCCAGGAGGAAAAAAAGGTTGAAGAGCTTGAAAGGGTGAGTGCTGATTTCTTTCTCTGGCCCAGCTCCACAATACCCTTATTTCCTGCTTTGTATTTAATCAAAGGCCAGGTGTATTACTAAATTGGTCCTTATAGCTTGGCTTCCATCACTATCATGCCCTCCAGACATGAAAAAATAACCTGTCCCAGAATTTTTCAAAAAATTGCTTGGCTGGTTGGGCCTTCTAGAACTTGAAGCTTTTATGCATCTGAAGGACTCAAGATGGGAAAGAATGGTGTATATAGAGGCTTCAGCAAAGTAGTTAAGTTTGTATTGTCTGTGGAGATTCTCAGTCATCCAGTCATACTTGTCCCAAGGATGCTTTTTCAAAAGGCAACTGGACTTTCTTTGTTTTTGCTTGAAGAGTTCTGAACTGAAAAAGCTTCTTAGATAAGAAGCAAAACATTTTCAAGCAAAAACAGAATCCAGTTGCCTTTTGAAAAAGCACCTTTGGGTTAAGATTGTATTCTATGCCATTAAAAGCAGAGTGAATTGTATTATCTACACTTGATTATTTTGAGCTAGCATGCACATAGATTTATGCATCAAGAGATACACCCAGATACACTTTAAATTATCATTGGTTATGGGAGGTACTGAATGTCTTCACATATAACAGCTATGCACATGAGTGACTGTGATCAGATCCTCCCAATCCAGGAAGGGGCACAATGGAAGCTGTGCAAAAGCATCCCAGACATGACTGTCACCTGCTCTTTGAGCAGGAGTTGGATGTCTAGGAAGACTCCCAAATTATGTATTGGGCCTATTTGGGGCAGAATAACCCTGTGCAGCACCAAAGATGGCATAGTCTCTAAAACCCAGAACCATTAAATCTTGCCAAGGTTTAGCTAAAACCTGTTGTTCTCCGGCTGGGTGCCATAGGCTCCAGGGACTGGGGTAGGATATCAGCAATACACCCCATGGCAATGGGCAATCTTGTCCAGCAGCTTCATGTTGATGTTGAATAGGAGGGGAAAGAGCACTGAACCAGGTGGAATCTTACAGAATTTTTAATGTGATAGAGGATAATATTTTAAATTATTAAGTATGTGAGAGAATCATATTGAATGAATGAATGAATGAATGACACTCATTCATAAGAATGAGTCTGGTGAGTGTTAACGCCACTTTCCTGGACAAAATTCAGAACATCCAGAAGTACATCAGTAAGATGACACCCAAAGATGAGCTGTTTAGAGAAATGTCTGAGGCAGCAGCAGATATGGAAGGAAGATCAAGCAGAAGAAGTGCCAAGGCAAAACAAGACTAAATAAGATGTACCATTGATAGATAGCCGAGGTAATAGACATTAGAAAATCCTACCAGTGATTACAAAGAGCCAGACTAAAAAACAGCACTGTGGTACTGATCACAGCAGCACAAGAACAGGCACGAAGCACCAGATCCATAGAAGCAGGAGTCCCCCTAGACAGGAAGTATGTAGAAAGGCCTCAAAAACAATCCATTACATGAAGAGAGGAGCAGCGTAAACTGAATGGCACAACCAAGTAGCTGGCATTGTGTACAGGAACATTGACATAGTATATGGGCAAGTCCAGATGGGAGATCCCACCAAAGGTCCTGGAGAACAGGAAGACTGAGATCCTGCTGGATTTCCAGATCCAGCAGACAGCAGGTACTGTCCAATTAATCAGACATTGTGCTGGTAGGCAAGGACCAGAAGACAATAGTGGTGATAGATGTAGCAGTGCCAAGTGACAGCAACATCAGGAAAAAGAAGTAGGAGAAGATAGAGAAATACCAGGACTAAAGGAAAAATTAGAAGGAATATGGAAAGTAAAGGCCAAAGTGGTTCCAGTGGCGATAGAAGTATTCACGACTGTGACTCCTAAGCTGGGAGAGTGGCTCCAACAGATCCCAGGAGCAATATCTCTGTCCAGAAGAGTACAGTGCTACGAATAATTAAGATTGCACAGAACTCTCAAATTCCAAGTCGTCTGGGAGAGGACCCAAAAGTGAAGAAGACACATATCGCCATAGGAGTGAGAAAGGATTTTTAAAAATACTTCTATGTGATTAAGATTTATTTAGTAACCAATTTAAAACAATTTACTATCTTTCCCTTTGAATATGTAGAAAATGGTAGAAAAACGCAGGCAGAATGAAATCATGGCCAAGATTCAAGCAGCAGTTATCCAAATTCCAAAACCGTTGCCACAGCATACTGACAAAGCGATTGAAGACCAAAAGCTGCAGAAGAAGAAGAAGGAAGCCGACGTAAGTTACGAGATTTTATAGTTATTTAAAGAATGCATAAGCAACAGCATGTACTACATATTTTGATTATCCTGAATCTTAATATAAATGCGTTCATTTTTAAACAAGTATTTCATTGTGCAGCATTATACTTTGTTAATAATAATGGTGTCTGATAAACTTGTGCATGAAATAGCATATGCAAAGGGAGTTAAAACAGGAAAGATGGCAATTCTGTATGTGCTGACATTGTACACATGTACAAAAGGGCGAGACTTCTATTGTGCTGCCACAAATGCTGTTTTTTCCTGTTCTGATGGCTTCCCGCCTTCAGATACCACCATATACATGGAAAAGAATCTTCAAAACAGTACTAGTAACAGTGAAATAAATAATCAGACACTTTTTCCTGAGAACCAAATTAAAATGCCTTCCACCAGTTCTTAAGCCAGTGGGAAAATATCCTGGTATAACATTTGCTCTGCTCACTGGACATCCCTATCATACCAAAGGCATGATGCTAGGAACAGGTGCTGTCATTATTTACGATATTCAGGGTATATTAAAGACAAGACTGAGTAGTTTCCCCAGTTTTGTTTCCTTCCCCTCCTCTAAATGTCATCTGCCAGCAGGAATTTATCCACCAATCTCTCTCCTTGATGTGAGAAGGAAATGGGACTAGGGAAGAGTCAAGATCATTGGTTCTAGGGTTAGGCTCAGAAACCTGGCAGTTACAGGGGATCAGCTAATCTGAAAGAATCTGATTTTCCCCCTGCCAGAGTAGATTGGCCTCAGATTACAGTGTTCAGAAGTTCAAGGGAAAAGAGAGTGTCCCTGCCTGCTAAAATAACAACAGGAGTTGAGTTAATCTCACTCTCTGCAAGTCACCTCATTGCAACCCCACAAAATGATCAATGACGTCTCTAAACTACACCCACATAACACTGCTAGAGTTCGTTGAGTATATAATGGGAAAATAATACTTTAACAGTGGAGCAGATAAGGACACTTTACAATGCATCATGTATAGGTGGGAATGAGATAAGGCATTATCATAAGGACTTTGTAAGGTAGTTAGGTGCAAATGAGGAAAAATGCTGTAGTAACTATATATAACTGAGATTCAGATCATTAAGACTCAGAGTTGGAAATTCACCCCTTTTTCTTCATAATAAATATGCAGGAAGGAACAGTCATAATCCACACATATCCCTTCAGTTAGACAGGAGTAAATATAAATCTAGAGAAAGGGGGGGGGGTTTCCCAGAATTTAGCTGAGGAATCCTTATTTAGAATCACTTTAAAGAAACACAGTGATTGCTAAAAGTAATAGTTCATATATTTTATGGCTAAGAAATCAGCAGACTGCATAGGCCCCTCACCACTCCATTTATGGTCCTTGGAATCATCAAGGCTGAATTTTGTCAGGCTTTTAGTGGGGGTTGGATGGATTTGGGGGCAAAATAAACCTTAAATCTTGCAGAGGCACTCATTTTGTTGCTTAATACCACTTAATCTCCAAACAGCAAACACATTCTTCCAAAAATGTATCCCTGTTCACTCCAGCAATGTCACATCCATAATCTTCCCTTTGGAGATGCCGGTTAGATCTAGAAGTTGCCCACAGACTGAAAAAGATTGTTAGAATTTACCGTACTGCCATGTTAAAATCCAATACAACTCTGCTGTCCTCCGTCTTCTTTCCCTTTCCCTTTCCTTCAGAAATGTTTTGAGGATAACATGCACTGTTCCTAAGACAGCAGAACAGACACAGCCCCCTGATTTTACAATGCCATATATATGCCAAGACTCGCATTATTTGGGTGACCATGCCACATTTTATTCTATTCACTTGTTTTAGTGGGATCTCGTTGAGATAATGTGTGGATGTTCTTACATGGAATTGTTGCAATCCTGCTTGCCCTGCTGGCACTGCATTTGTTAGGGAGAAAATCTGCTCTTGGAAGCAAAAATGCTTGCTGGAATGTAAAAGTGAGCTTATAAAAATGGGTGGGCCTTCAATCATGCAACTGCAGCTACCATCTTGCTTTTTGTAATCTCCCCAACTGAACACTCCTGTGGGGGGGGGAGTGGTAAAGAACTCAAGGTCTTGAATCTTTTCTGTTCACGAAGAAGAGGTGAGGAGATATTGTAAACTCTTAATAATTAAACATATTTCAGTTAACTATTGTTGTTAATTGTTCCATTTGTTTATATGGCTGTTGTTTTATTTGCTTATTTCACTTGTCTGCTTAAACATGAATAGTAATTAATTGGTACAATACAAATTAAACCAATGCATTTACAGAAATCTTTTCTTTGGTTCTCATCTAATCACTTAAAAGTTTGTAATAGCATCAGACTCATACGGCTCATGGATAACATAACTTAATGAAGCTCCGATGCGCTTTACCAAGCTTACTGGCACAACCCCACCTTGAACACAGAAACCCCATGGCACAGTGCATTTGTGCTTTGAACATCTTGTTAATTTGTAATGGGATGCCATAAAGAATTAAACAGAAGGAAATGAGTTAAAAATGCTTACTTTTTTTCTAGATCACATACACTGAAATTAGGAACTTCGAAAAACAAATGAGGAAAGAGGCTGTTATGCCTGCCAAACTCACAGAAAGGTAATGTTACTTCTAGTAAATTTTGCTCTGTTTTTCTGCTGGACTGTGTGGAAATAGAAACACCCTCCCATTGGCCAGACATCCTACTAATAAGCTTTTGTTTCAGTCATGTAGATGATTAAATATGCTGTATTTGTAGTCCTGTACTGACATAAATGCTGGATAGATAAGCTATCATGCATAATTTCATTTTTCACTGGAAATACTTTATATTTCTCCACACAGTTGAAATGTCAGCATATACTTCATTAATCAGCTAGTTTACTACCAATAACTTGGCCTCACCCAGCCATCTCTAATGCAATATAAACCCTGTCCTTATTAATTTGGCATAACAAAAGTTGGACAACTATAGAAGAAGCCATAAATTGCTACTGGAGAAATGCTGATTGTCTCATGGGGGTGAAGATAGGGTATAACCTTTCAGTTAATATTTTGGAGAGAACTGACTTCAATAGATTATGGAAAACCTTAAATCACTCTGGGGCACTTAATACTATGAAGTCCACAGGGAAGAAATGATGTTGGAGACATTGTTAGTAACTTCATTCTTCTCCCCATGATTCTACTTATACGTAATATGGCCTGACAGTTTTATTTTTACAAAGATGTTGATCCCAAAAGTAGAGTGAGATCTCTGCCAAAATATGCCGTCTTAATAGAAGAGCAGTCTTGTGATACTTAACTTGTTATCCTCAGTTTGGCACACAAAAGAGAAGACTGGTGAAAGGAAGGACAGTGCCCACAAAGATCTCAAAGCTTGGGACACACAAGTTGTCTCTCTTTTACTATTTTTCTTTTGTTTCCTATCCTCCATCAGAGAAGAAAATTAGGATAATGAGATTATGGGTTTAAAGGAATTAAATCCTCAAGTCTTAATCCAGATTGGGACTTATTGCTTGATAGTTGCCGTGGAAACTGGTTTTAGAGTTAAAGGCAAGGGTGGGGTTTTTTTTGTTTTTTTGGTGAGAGCTAGATGTGGGAAAGATATAAATCAGGACAGTGAAGAATGTATAGGTTTATCTTTTGTTCAAGAAGTAGCCAGGCTATCTGCAAAAAAGTGGAAAGGTTCCAAAGCCATCCTATTCTTGTGATATTTTGAAGTGTATTTAGGTAGTCCTTGACTTATGACCGATCACTTGGCGATTGGTCAAAGTTACAAAAGACCCCTGCCCCCCAACAAAATATGTACAGCCAGGTTCTGAAGTTCTGAGGCTGCCCTCCCTCCAAGATCATTTGACCGCATTTTGGGCACATGGCCAAAATGATGGCTGTTTGCGGCATTTGGCAGTCAAATGACCACAATTTACATTTTTGCCAGAAATTGGTCTTTACTTTTAGTTTCCCACAAAAATCATCCATAGTGAATAATGGGCTCTCTTAACAACTGCCACAAAAAAGTAAAAATGGGTCTGGTCATGTGGTTACCTGTTTTATGACTCACAATTTAGTGGCTGTAATTGCCAGACTCAGTTACGGATGTAAGTCAAGGACTATCTCTATGTGCATTGATGGTGTTGTAAATATTCTATTATAATATAAAATATAAAAGAAAAATATATAATAGTAATAATAATATAATACAATATAAAGCAACAGATAAGAAACAGTTTCTTTCATTTTTTGTGTAAAACTTGTAACACCAGATGACCCATATTATTTTCTTAGTATGATGAATGCGATAAAGCAGGCACAAGAACTAGCTACAGCAAAACCAGCCATTACTGACCTACTGAACACCTATTCAGATGATGAATATATTAGGAAAATTCAGAAACGTCTTGAGGAGGATACCTTTGCTCGAGAACAACGGGAGAAAAGAAGGCGAAAGATGTTAAGGGAGCAACTCATAGCTCATGAAGCACAAGAAGTGAGTTAGATACGCTGCCTTCTGATGTTTAGATGAAAAGACATGAAAAGTAAAAGCTATTATGAAACCTGCTTGGAAAATGAAGTAAATTGTAACTTTACTAGTGAAAATAATAAGCACATTTTTTGACTTCCTGATCAGACTTAAATGTTAAACGTAGTGGTAGATTTAAAAAAAACTAGCATAATATTAAAGCACAAAATCTGGAATTGTAAAAAACTAAAAATGAAATATAGGGCAAATTCTTCAAATTTAAAATTACAGCATCTTGCTAGGTGATACTCTGGTTTTATGAGTGCATCAGGACTATTGAGACTAAGAATTGCTGATGGCCAATCATCCATTTTTACTAGTACTTTTAGCAATACCTTTAATCTCTTTATCCACAAGCCCTTGAAATAAACCGAAGCTAATTAACCCCACAAGAGGTCAACTGATGATACTATGCAACTTTTTTTTCATATTTACCTGAAAGTAAACCCCTTTCAGTGACTACCCAAAGTCACCTAATAGGTTTTGTGCCTAAAGTGGGGCTACACTCATGGTCTCCCAGTTTCCAGCCAAAGCTGTACATTATGTCACTCTTATTGGTTTCTTTATTATTTTAGGAGGCCTATAGAGAAGAGCAGCTTATCAACCGACTTATGAGACAGTCCCAGCAAGAGCGGAGAATAGCTGTTCAACTTATGCATGTGAGGCATGAGAAAGAAGTCCTGTGGCAAAACAGAATTTACAGAGAAAAGCAGTTTGAGGAAAGACGCCTCAAGGAATTTCAAGAAGCTCTTGATAGGGAGGAGGTAGATATTCATTATTGTCTTCTTTGTTACTATATTTTTCTCTTTTGCATTTCCCTCCCTAAGTACTGGGTTTTAGCAAAACCACCAGAGAATGTGATTATGTGACCATGAGACATAGCAAATGGCCATAAATGCGACCGTGTTGCCAAGCGCCCAGAGTTCAGTCACATGACCATGGGTAGGCAACCATCAGAACTTCAAGTTCGGGTTCATAATAATGTCAAACAGTTGTAAGTTGAACTCTTCCTCTAAACCTTACAGTTTTATTTTTTTGTTTTTAAACATCTCTAGCATGCATTTATCTCTATATTTCTTTGTCTTGAAGAAATGTGGGGTCCAGTATTGGTCCAGTATTCCCCCCCCCATCATTTAGGGAGAAAAAAGCAAACTGATTGCTTTTTAAGTTCAGTCAAGCTTATTCCCAGGAGTTGAATCTCAACATCAGACTTTCAATATGCCTGTCTATATTAATACTACTGAACTTGCAAAAATGCCAACATTGATTTGATGGCAGCTAGAAGAGTTTTCTGCAATGCAGCAATAGTAGCCCTAGTGGCTAGCCCAAAGAATGAAATATACCTAGTACGAGAAGATTGCTGGACAATGTTTATGAAGCTTGTGCTATTCTTCCGTTCTTCTGGGAAAAGTTAACTTTTTCATCCTTCAAAGAGAATGAAAGATTTGATTGACAGTGTTCACCAAAGATTCACTTCCACATATAGGTAGTCCTCGAATTATGACTACAACTGAGCCCAACATTTCTGTTGTTAAGTAAGACATTTGTTAAGTGAATTTTGACCTTTCTTGCCACAGTTGTTAAGTGAATCACTGCAGTTGATAAGTTAAGTGAATCTGGCTTCCCCATGACTTTGTCAGAAGGTTGCAAAAGCTGATCACATGACCTCAGGACACTGCAACCGTCATAAATGTGAACCAAGTTAGTAACACGGTTCTTAAGTGAATCTGGCTTCCCCCTTGATTTCGCTTGTCAAAAGGTTGCAAAATGTGATTACGTGACTTTGGGACACAGCAATGGTCATATGTATGCCAAGCATCTGAATTGTGATCACATGATCATGGGGTTGGTACAAAGGTTATAAGTGTGGAAAAATGGACATAAGTCACTTTTTTCAGTGCTGTTGTAACTTTGAACGGTCACTAAATGAACTGTTGTAAGTTGAGATCTACCTGTATGTAGTTGTAATAAAGTGCAGCCCCTTATAAATGGTCCTTTTGAGGCCACCAGAACTTTATTTTGAAATGATAGGAACATCCACTAGAGGCCACAGTTCCCTTGTGTGCCAGAGAGACTATAGGAAGCTATAAAATCAGAAGGAAGTGTCCTCATTTAGTCCTTACATTTATGCATATTTGAAGAGGTCAAATCAAAACATTAACAGAATAGCAGTCGACTGATCATCATGCTCTTCTGTCACCTGATATAGTTAGCAGAATTCTAACTTTAGTAACAGCAGAATAAATGGGTTAACATACTGGTTGAACAATGTGTTTCGTGAAGGGAGATGATTAGTGGACGTAAATGGAGGAAAGTCCCGTCAAAAAACATTTTGAGGCTTGCCTTCTCCAGTCCTTTCAGAGGATGAAAATAGTTCATACCTGCCTTTGCGCAGGCACATTGGTTTGCAAGATACAAATTTGATAGTATGTCCCTCTTCTCTAAATTCTTTATGTTCATGCAAATCTGATAGACTGCACTGATTGCTTTCCTTGCTGTTACAAAATAGAACAAATAGTGCCTGACAGGATTCTTAAAGAGATCTACGGCTGAGGATCTGACTTGCATCATAGCTATTAAGTGAACAAAATAAATGCTTATAGTGGACTTCTGTGGCAGATGTGGGTTGAGCAGCAAATGAAAAAATGGGTATGCCGTTTCTTCTCGACGCCCTTTTTGTGTGCACTATGATGTTGCACACATATGTATAAGGAGCACAGCTTATGTTGCAACATTCGTGTTGATACTTTTCATATCATCAGATTCTGAAGATGCTCCAATACTTATTCAAATGTTGTAGGTGTTCAGTGGATATTAAATTAATACCAGTGTTGAATCTGGAGCTGATATAATCCATTTCTGAACTGGAATTTTTTGCTAAGGGTGTGCAGTATTTGGATTTAATTCCAAAAAGATGGTGAGGCACAAACATAGTATGTATCTGCATTCTCTAAAACATTGGTATTCTATCCCAGAATCCTTTTTCAACTCTCGCATGATCCCAAGAAAAGGTATTGCTGGTCTCTAAATCCTTGACTTCTCAAGGTGACATTCCTTCACGAGACCATTTATATAAGATTGTATGTATGTGTATTATTAATAATGACCGCAAGGTTTAGATAATTTAACTTCTTGTCTTATCAATTTGAGGAAATTGACCATTGTTCTCCCATCTCCTTTTAGGCCCTTGCAAAACAAGAAAAAATTGAACTTGCAGAACAGACCCTTAGAGAAAAACAACTGCATGAAAAACTTGCTGCTGAAAGAGCTGAAGCTCGCTATAAGAAGCATTATGAAATTTGCTGGGAAGTAGTTGAACAAATCATTGATTTAGCAACTAAAATAGGAGAATATAGAACACTGACAAATAAGTAAGTCCCTTATATATACAATTTTGTTTTTCATTTGTTTTGTTTTTGCATTGCCTTTTGGCTATGTTGGGAAAAGTGAGCAAAGTTACAGAAATATAGTTCGCTTCAATTTGATCCTCAGGCGTGTAGATGAGAAAACAGCAATAAAGCCTGAGTAAAATTTGGGCTTGAGAACTCAATATATAGGAACAATTGCTGGGATCTGTTGAAATGTCCTCTTCAACCTACCCAGTGTGAGCTCAACTTGTGGAGATTTAAGAAAAAACCAAATTCAGATGAATCCACTAATTATAAAGAGTCTTTTTGTCCTGGCATCAAGGTGAAATCCTCCTTAGTTTACTTTTATTTCATCACCTTGTAAAAATCTAGTGATTGATCCAAATTTGGGACTAGGGAAAGCAGTTGTGCCTCATAGTTTTCTTTAGGTTGTTTCTGTTGATATTCGTTATTATAATCTACTCTAACAGACTGCTATCAACTGAGTTATAAACATTTAATTAAATAAGCTATAGGAAAGTTAAAGAATTTAAAGAACGCCATCTCCCAGCATTTCCTGCCACTAAAATGTGTATTGTATGTACATAACCTGCAGCTCCATATAAGTTACATAACTTAAAACAATGCTTCTCAACCATGGCCACTTGAAGATGTGTGGAACTTTGGCTGTTTGAAAAAGCATGCTGGATGGGGAATTCTGGGATATCTTCAAATGGCCAAGACAGAGAAACACACTGCCTTAAAAATATCTACCATACAGATTTTTTCAAAATATTTTTGTGCTACCAATCAGTTTGAAAAGTTGGGAATGAATTATTTCTTAAGTTATGCAATTAATCCTCAATATAACATTAATCGTTAATACCAGACAAGAACAATATCAAAGAACATTTAGTTGTATAGTCGCTTTTGTGATAAGACTATTGTATATATACATATACACATCTACTGTTAGATGTTATGCTGAGATATGCTCAACAATCTAATGCATTATTTCAAATAATCACAAATTATATACTCTTAGTAAAATAAAAATAATTCCAGATAAGCCCATCTGTTTTTTTATCATTTTATTGATCAAATATTTCTGATCAAATTCCCCCCATACACATATTCAGAACAGTATCCAGAATAATTTTCTTAAGTGAAAAATATTAAAATAAAACTTTGTCAGATAGTACCCATGTCCATTCTAAAATGAAATCCCAGATCTGACTAATTGAGCTTAATTTGATCCAAATTTAGCAGTTGCTTCTTTTTGACATAATACCACTGGAAATATTCCTGGCCAGAGGGAAAAAAATGAGAGCATGGATGAACACATACAATCATTAGCTGTCTGTTGCCTCTTCATTTTGCTTAGTATATTTATCTGGAATATTGATGCCCTGAATTTCAGAGATCCCCCAGGTAGAGTAGACTGATACACCTTGTCCCTTTAGAGGTAGATATCTTGTGCAATATCCAGATTCTTGACTTATCAACTCCAATTGAAATCAAGTTTAGACATTTTTTTCTCCCAGCCAAATATATGCAAGTGTAGGTAGGTGTATTATGTCTATCAAGTCATGTTCCCAAACAGAGCTGAAGTGGCACAGTGATTAGAATGTATTGCAGGCTAACTCTGCCCACAGAGCCACCAGTTCGATCCTAACCAGCTCAAGATTGACTCAGCCTTCCATCCTTCCAAAATCTGTAAAATGAAGGCCCAGATTGTTGGGGGGCAATATACTGATGCTAAACTGCTTAGAAAGTGCTGTAAAGCACTATGAAGTGGTATATAAGTCTAGGTTCTATTGCTATTGCTAAACAGGAACAGAATAAAAAATAACAATTAATAATTGATTAACATTAATTGCCTATAAAAGAAGGAATCACACTTATAAATCGTATCTATGTTTACATTTAGCAACCATATCATATACATAATAGCAGACTTATATACTGCTCCTTAGTGTTTTACAGCACTCTCTGGGTGGTTTACAATGTCAGCATATTGCCCTCAACAATCTGGGTTCTCATTTCACCAACCTAGGAAGGATGGAAGGCTGAGTCAACCTCAAGCCCTGTCAGGATGAAACTCCAGGCTGTGGGCAGTTTGCCTGCAATACTAAATTCTAACCTCTATGCCACCAGGCTATTAACTAATCACTAGGGCTATTAACTATTACTAACGACAAGCAATTTACAGACCAATTTACAGAAACACAGATACATACTCCTTTTATTCTTTTCAGCAGTAGCAAGAAAGAATAAAAAGTGGGTATGAAAGAGAAACAAAACTGAATTGAGATTCAGGTGAGGAAGAGAGGAAGGAAAAGAGCAAACTTCTTGTTTATGCACTGTAAAAAGCTTTACAATTCATTAAGCAACTAGTCTTTCCCAAGCTACTATTCATATAACATACGTTTTAGCAATGATTATTTGCAATTACTTCAATTTCCTGCCCATTTGTTTGTTTTCAACAGTTTGAGTATAAAATAATATTTCAACAGCCAATTCCCAAGTTGATTGGGGTAAAAACTGATCTTCCTAATGTGTAATTGAGCCATTTTGTGTAAATGGATTTTTTTTTGACAAAATTCACTATTTCTTCCTCTTTTCAGAGTTATTTCTTATGTTCCATATTTCATTTAACCATTGATCACTTTCATTGATTAAAAGCATGTTTCTTTTATACTAAATACAATTTTGTTTTTCTTGATTTCCACAGTTTAATTCCTGCAAAGCTAATGCGTGACTGGAAGGAAATTTTCTTAAAAGGAAAGCCAATTTATGAGCAAGCTGACATCAGCGATTTGCCAGCTGAGCCAACTCCAGAACAATTAATAGAACTGGACAAAATTAATTTGCTAGATGAGAAAGATTATGATGACTATAAGGTACTCCCAACTGATATGGCCTAGTGGAAGAATATATAGCTCATAAAATCATTGTTCATGAACATCACATTTGTTTTGTGATTGATGCCTAGATTTCATATTAGTATAATAAGCATTTTGGCAGAATTAAATGTACTTTATATTCTGTTTTTATAGGATTTGGCAATGCACTGATTCATGCCACTCTGGATGATTATCTGCCACAGTCCTTTCAATTGCCTCTCATAAGCAATAACAATAACATGCAAGAGTTCTGAGGCTGTGATACTTTACTTAAATAGAAATTAAGCTGTAGTACGTTACAGTGTGCTAGAAAATGTTAATGCAAAGTAATACACAAAACCTAATGTGAAATAAACACTGTCTGTTACTGAATGAGTGGTCTTCTTTCATTGGTATTTTCTAGTACAATTCTTGTTATCTTAAGAGCAGTTCATTTCAGTATCTAGTTTTATAATAGACAGTTCTCAGAATTATCATTATCTCTTTTTAGGAATCTTTGAAGAGGTAAGTATATATTTAAATATAAATTCCATCTCTCCCATTCCATTGTCAAAGCAGATATGATTAAATAATTGAATTCTGAACATTTGCCTTTTTTGATTTCCATTCTTTATGCCTTATTTTCAGATTCCTCTATTTGCAGCTCAACTGCACTGAGAAAAAAAAAGATATATTATTTGGGTTGGGTTTGGATTTTTTCTATCAGCTTGTCTGCACTATCTTCATAAATAGCCTGTATGTTTATTTTTTATCTTGTTTGGGAAACCACATTTATATGTTCTTTTTGTACCCACATCCTGAACACAAATGGTACATTTTATTTTCATCAAGTTGTAAGTTTTAGAGTCTATGCGGTCTTTTTGAATTAACACAAAACAATTTAGCTTCTTTCTTATTTCTGAAAGTGAAGGTTATTTCTTTGTTCATACTACAAATTATATATATTTTAAAAAAGATGCCCTATTTTGTTCATCAGAGTTACAGTGATAAATTCCCAAGATGCTTCTGCATTAATCTATTAGGATTACATTTCTCCAGTGAAATGAATAGGTATATTATGCCTTTTATCTTCAGTGTGATCCATATATTATTTTAGAGTTGCTGTTTTCCTCCTGGTAAGATGTCAAAGACTGAAGTTATCACTAGCATACCGATCATCTAAGCAGGAACCACATTAGTGCTGCCTGTATTAGAAAGGTGCAGCAAAAAAATGAGTTCATGCTAACATGGGTACAGACAGCATGCAGGCATGCCATGTGAAAGTAGCAGCTGCATGAACTACAGGTAATCCTTGATTACGACCACAATTGAGCTCCACATTTATGTTGGTAAGTGAAACACTTGTTAACTGAGTTTTTCCGCATTTACTCTTGTTAAGTGAATCATGTTGTTGTTGTTAATTGTGAAGTCGTGTCCGACCCATCGCGACCCCATGGACAATGTTCCTCCAGGTCTTCCTGTCCTCTACCATCTTCTGGAGTCCATTTAAGTTCACACCTACTGCTTCAGTGAATCATAGCAATTGTTAAGTTAGTAATACGGGTTGTTAAGTAAATCTGGCTTCTCCATTGATTTTGCTTGTCAGAAGGTTGCAAAAGGGGATCACATGACCCCAGGACACTGCAACTATCATGATCTGAATTTTGATCATGTGATCATGGGGATGCTGCAACGGTCAGTCATAAGTCACTTTTTTCAGTATACTAAATGAACTATTGTATGTCGAGGACTACCTGTGGTAACATATACATCAAGTCTTTATATGTAACCTATTTACACAGAAAGAAAGAAAACCTATTTATACAGAAAGAAAAACTAAGGTCTGTAGACAGATAGCTTCTAAATTTCAAAACATCCTTTATTTCAAAATGTTTGAATTATTTTTCTCAATGTAGCTCTTTAGTTGAGCTACCTTATCTGGCTGTAACAACCCAGGTGGCCACTAGATGACTGCACAGAATTATTGAAAAACCTGACTTTGCTTCTAATGGTCCAGATAACTGCAGCCCAGATAGTTGGCTCTACTTATAATCCATTTTTATTGATAATGATATAAGTGCCTGATTAAATAATCATAGGCAGTAAGTATATTGGTTTCCAACAGAAAGCAGGCTTGTACGTATTCTGGACAGTCAATGTGGAACAGCTTCTTTCTATGTACTAAGCAATGTATTAATGTTCTGAATAGACAAAAAATACTTTGTGCTGAAATGATCATATCATGGTCAGCTGCCACCAGTCATTTCTTGTATCAACCATTTTAAAAAACATTCTCAGCCTACAAGTTTTCATTTTTGTTCAGGTTTGTAAGATTCTTCCTGTTTATTTAGCATTTTATGGAATCCATAAGATTCCATAAAAGAAAGGGGGGAGTTAATGTAATTGCAAATATAAGGGCATTGTGCTTGTTTATTTGTAAATTTATTGAAGTGCACTTGAGGGAGGAAGACATAAAAACAGCATACCACAAATTACAAACCATGTAAACTACAAATTTGGCAGTGTAACTGTTACTAATACCATGGTTGAGGAAAGGGCACAATTTGGAGAGAAAAGCATGTTTTTTTTGTGCAGGAAGATCCAAATTAAATTTCTGGTAACTTTCAATAGAGCTCAGAAAATGTCCTATCTCAAATCCCCATAGAATCATTATCAACATCATCTCTATGGAGACACATTATTCAGCTGGATGAACTAACGGTCTGCACTGATGTAAGACAACTTCATATTCACTATTTCTTTTCTCTGTAGAATTGTAGATAATTCATTTAAGCATAAAAATAGCACTAAAATAAAAATGTGGTTTTATGCAATTTGTAATCTTGATGCCACAGATTACTTGCTTGGAAATGTAATCTGGAAGAGTCAGAGCTTCTTTACTTCTAGTGCCAAAGTAATGGCAAAAACTGAAGAGAGATACGGCTGTGTAAAAGAGCAAACCAAGCAGTCTTTGCATTGATAATCAGTTATATCTTTCGCAAGGCTCATGTGGCTGCTTCGCAAGCTGTTCCTGATGTCTTCACATACTTTGCAAAACGACTGCCCAGGCTTTGCACGAGCCTTGCAGTTGCTTTAGTGGTTCAGAGTGAGATGCTTTGCTGGTGCTCTTGCACGTTCTCGAAGCACCTCTTTCAAACGCTTTTCTGAGCCCTAAAAAGTGGTTACAGATAGTCCTTAACTTACAACAGTTCATTTAGTTTGAAGTTACAACGGCCCTGAAAAAAGGGACTTATGACTGTTTCACGTGACCATTGCAGCATCCCTGTGGTCACGTGATCAAAATTCAAGCGCTTGGCAACTGACTCATATTTATGACGGTTGCAGTGGCCCAGGGTCATGTGATCACTTTTTTTCGACCTCCTGACAAACAAAATCAATGGGAAAGCCAGATTCACTTAATAGTCACGTTACTAATTTAACAATTGCAGTGATTCAGTTAAGAACTGTGGTCAGAAAGGTTGTAAAATGGGGCAAAACTCACTTAACAATTGTTTCACTTAGCAACAGAAATTTGGGGCTCAATTAGGGACATGCTCAAGGACTACCTGTACTACTAAATACATTCCAGTATTTGATACTGTATTTCAAAACAATATACAGTATAATTCTTTAATATTATTTCATTAATGAACATTAAGGAACTGTAATGCCTGGAGTCAATAGAAGAGAATATATTTAGAGTTCTTCATACCTTCTGAGCATGGCTGTTTGCTTGCAGATGTTTCATTACCCAATTATATAACATCATCAGTGCTAAAGAAGGTGCTCTCTATTTCAGTGTTTCTCAACCTTTACAATTTTAAGACATGTGGACTTCAACTCCCAGAATTCCACAGCCAGCATTGCTGGCTGTGGAATTCTGGGAGTTGAAGTCCACATGCCTTAAAATTGTCAAGGTTGAGAAACACTGCTCTATTTATATACAGTAGCATGAATTCCCTGGTTTTGGATTTAGCTTGGTAAATAAAACCAAGCAACCCAACTAAATCAACAAATCCAGGTTGATAAATTTGGTAAATCCAAGCTCCAAAAATCCTCGAGAATTCCTGGAAGCCTGGCATTCAGATAAATCAACCCAATTGATATTTTTGTATACAATTCAAAAGAGACAATGAAAAGCTAAGAAGGAAGCAAAACGTCCAGAACGCATTCTGTTCTGCAGCCAACACCCAGATAAGCAGGGATTAACACCAGACACACAATGAAGCGAAAAACACCCTAATCAAGGAACTACCAAGAAAAAGCCATAGCCTCTTCAACACTGCAGGCAAGCTACTGTATAAAACTCCACACTCACTAGCACTGATGATGTTACCTAATTGGATAACGAAATATATGCAAGCAGACAACCAGGGTCAGAGAGCACCAAGGACTCCACAATGACTGGAATATGATGATCTTCTGTTTTCAAAGTGGTTTTTACCTAGAGATGTTTTTGCAATTTTGGTTGCTGTTTTTAGTTTTTTAGGATATCTGAGGATATCTCTTTTCAAAGTACTGGCAGTTAACTTTTAAAAAGCAATTAGTTAATAAATAACTAGTTAATAATAAATAACAGGTTGGATTCCAGCTTAGGTGGCTTCTATTGACTTCCTTGGCAAAACTTCAGTCATTGATTTTCATGGCGATTAAGTGTATCTGATTTAACTTCCATTCAGTTTATGGATTCATCACCTGTAGAAATTATCCTGAAAGATCTCCTATAGTTTTTTTTCAGTAAATCCTACCGAAAACAACTTAGTAAATATAGTTCCAAACATTAATGGGCTACCGTTTCTTCATCTAGCAAACCTCTTGCTTATTTTCCTGCTTGCATGAAATTATTTGTAATAACATGCAATTTCTGGTTATCTCTAGTTACAAAACTACAATAATGTTTAGTATAAATTCATAGTAGCTAATCTGATGTCTTCCAGACATTTGGAGTACAATTCCAAAGTTCCTTGCTATTGGTATGCTGTTAAGGCTGGTAAGAGTTGAAAACATAGGTCTAATAG